ATCAAGCTGCACTAAACTCCACACAGGCATCCGTCTCATGAGTCTGCCAAATTTATTTCCTCTATAGATCCATGAATTAATCCCCGGGAAATCAGAGAGAAAGGTCAAAATAACGCCAGCTCCACCTCTTCAGTCAATCCGTCGTCTAACTTGATTTTTCTGTAAGCAAGCAACCAACTGCAGAGCAGAGAATCCAGCTATGACGGGGATTGGTTTAGTTTTTAAAATTAAAACGTATCGTGGATGTCGCCTGTGAAAAACATATTTCAGTATGTCTGTGTTCCTGTGTTTAACAGCACGAGCTCTGCGTTGTGAAAAAAAAAAACCTTCTAAAGAAAATATATTTGTCAACTGGACGAGAGGTCCTCAGGGCTCCGGCCACTCGAGTCGTTCAGCTCAGGGTCTGAAGTGGCCTTTCTTTTTTTAGTGGAAACACAAGGAGCTTGTCCACGTACAGTAAACCACACCCATGAGGGGGCTCACACACACACACACACAGCTTGTTACGTGGTACAACCCTAACACAGACCTAATGCATATTCTGCTTATCAACTCCAAAAATAGGTTTGTTTTGGATAAACACTTCTGCTAAGGAACGAGAAACCGCCTCCTCTTTGCTCTTTACACACGATGGGCGGAGTCGTTAATTTACCGCCTCCGTTTATAGCCACACAGACGAAGTGTTTGTAATATTAATCATAGGAGGATGCGTAATATGTGAAAACAGAGACATTTCTCTGGTTTAGGAAAAACTTTTTCCAGTGTTTTTAAGTTGGTTTTTATACATTTGGATCCACAAATATCATATATCCTGTCGACCGTTTCTCAAATATCAGTGTTTTGGATTTTTGGACTTTTTCTCGCTGAACCTCCAAGGTTGTCTTCGGTTTCTGCTCATTGCAGAACGCTACAGAGACCAACTCATGGACGTCATTTACAAGCTGCCGTGGCCGCCCGGAAGGAACTCGATTCACAAACGTGCTCGGGACAACAGATCGGAACGCGTACGTGATTTCTAGGGAAACAAAGTAAAATATTTAGATTAAAATGATTTTGCGTTTGGTTTGGTGTCCAGCACCTGAACTGCAGAAAACATGTGATCTGGAGGTGGCGAATGCGAGAGAAGGAGCAAGTGCAGGAATGACGATGATGCACGAGATGAGATTTTAAAGTGAGGTTCAGTCCCCGTTGTTCACCAGCAGCTCCTCAGGCTAAATGTCACACTTCATATCACTTCCCCCATGGCTCAGGCTAATGAAGCCAATCATGCAATTATCTAGTTTACAGCTGGTCGGTAAATTCCACGTTATTAGCTCATGTGTTTTCTGTCCAGACACCAAATGTTAAATATGCAGAGAAGTTCATGAACTTCATGAAACTCCCCCCCAGGCAGCGAAGACCACCCCCCCACCCCCCCCAGTGCCCTTAACATGGGCACCCTTTGGTGTTGGCAATTATCTACAACTTCAGCAGAGACATTTAAATAATTTACCCTGACTCTCTGGCACAATTATGAGATAATCATTTTGGAGGAAAATGTACAAAATTATATAATACCAAAATATTATTATTATTATTAATATATAGTTTCATTAAAATATTAAATAAAAAGCAATTTTAATTGTATTTATTTATTTATATTTAAATATTTCATTATCTATATATGCTTTTGTGGCCAAGTAGTTAAACATTTCTCATAATTATGATGCAAATTTGACTTTAATATTTAGTCAGTATTTTTAAATTATACAATAATCATGACTGGAATGTTAAAAAATTCTAGAAATTCATATTTCATTCAGTATTTTCATTTTTAATCAGTCCGTACATCACCTGTTTTCTTATAAATTAATATTTTTATATGCTCTGTCAGAATCCTTGGTCTCTGGGAAAAGTGAACTTTGCTAAAACATCAGTGCGTGTGAAAAGAAAACAGGAAAACCCCTACTTAAATAAAACCGCACGTCATTCAAGAGGCCGCTTGCTCTGTAGAAACACATTTTAACTCTGAGTTTCAAAGACAAACAGTAGCCTCCTTCAGATTTCACGTGTTTCCCGATTGCGACCCTGTAAACTCCGCAGGATCGTTGCTGCTGAAGGCGAGAATGGCAAGTTCTCCACTAAGTATTCGCTGGAATGTGGTTTTGGGAGCCACACTCACTCACCTACCAAAATGTTTGCGTATGAGTGGCTGCATGTCATGTTAATGGCCAGAAACTAATTTAAATGTCAGAGTGTGGCTTGAACTGGCTGTTTTGGTTCACAGACGTGTGTCCAAACCTCTCATAAAGGCCTCATTCACAAAGTGCCAGCCAGAGAGTAATGGCCTCTCCTGCCTGTGGCCTCCTCGATTAAGACCAGATGCTGCAGATTCTTCGCTCTGCAGCACATCAGCACAACACAGGCCTCAGTCTGTTCTATCGGTCCCTGTTGTAGTCGCACAAATGTTGTACGGCGTGTGTGCACGTTCGTATATATCCACTTCCATTAGTTGTTTTTAGAAACCAAACCGAACTATTCTGGCTCCTGCAAACTGAAGTGAAAATGAGATTTGGGAAGTGGCTGCAACTTGTTGAGGTTTTAAGTCCAATAGACGGAATAAAACACTTCCACTGGTGCGTCTGTCTCACGTGTGTAGTTCACAGTGATCATGGCAGGAGATTTAATTTGAGGTTCAGGTTGTGATTTTCTGTCCAAACACGTTTGCGCTTGAGAGAAAACTAATCAATCCCAACCTGAAGATGTCAGAGTCTGTTTTCTGTGTTGAATCTCCTCCCAGGTTACAGACACGTGCAAAGTCAAAAGTCAAACAGAGCTGAGCCAACAGGACGGAGCCCGAACTGAACCCACGTATCATCCATCATTTATCCCGCTGATCCTTCGAGGGCCGCAGGGGGAGCTGGAGCCAATCCAAAGCTTCACATTGGGCGAGAAGCGGGGGACACCCACTTCGCCAACGTATCACAGGCTCAACACACGAACACAAACCATCCATTCACACCTTCGGCCGATTTAGAGTTTTCTATTACCCTCACCCCAACCTGCCTGTGGTCTGTGGGAGGAAGTGAACCGTGCAAATGCAAACCCCGGGCGATCTGGGATTCCTCACCTCTGTCGTGCAAAATGTTTTGCAACCCGACAGGTTGGGTATCCACACTCTGACAGGACCGGCTCCTGTTCAGATGAGAGACGCTTCACGCAGACTGCAGTTTTGTGATTCTTGTTCTTTTCCACTGATAACGAGAATGAAATGCATCTTGGGACCCGAGACGTCACGACGAGGTTCCTGCTGCAGGAAGTTAGCTCGGCGTGTTGTCGTTTGCAGCGTACGTGAGCGTGGGCCGGGGTTTGTAGACTCAACAAGGCAGCGAAGGTGACCTGAAGCACAGGTGGGCGATAATTAGGCCGGACACGAACGCAACACGAGGAAAATGAAGTCGAACACCAGAGGTTCGGCCGCAGCCAGGAATCACATGAGTGAACGGACGAGTGGAGAGCCGACGCTTTAGTACTGCAGGAGCCGAGAGCTGATCTGAAGCAGGTGTGCAGGTGATTTGGCGGGAGCAGGGATCCACAGGGCCAACATACACACACATACACACACATACACACACACACACGCACAAACACGTCAACATGACTTCAGAGGACATTGAATTGACTTGCACAAGTTTCGTTCTTGCCAAAACTAACTTTTAAAACATTTCCTTAAAATGTAATGAGTCATTTTTTATGAGAACTTGTTTTATCGTCCCCATAAAGAAGACATGTCCCCATAATGTGACTAATTTTGACCACCTACACACACACCCACACACACAGACACACAAAAGGCAAGAAAACAGAAATAAGGAGGGCGAGCGCGAGCGAGGCGAAGCCGACGCCTGACAGGTTCGATCAACTCCTCACACTTGTTGCGAAGGCGAAAATAAAGACACCAGCACCCCGACTCTCTTTACACATGGAGTCACTTACTGCATCGGATCAACATGTGAAGAAATCCAGAGATTGACAGGCAAGTTACGGTTTTTAAGAAGAGTTCTGCCAATTCCCTTAGAAGTTTTATAAACCCGGAGTTTAGGCCAAAAGTCCAAAATGAAATAATTCAAGTCCTTCAAAATGTGTTTTGAATGTTTTTTTTTTTTAATGCCAAACATTTCCAGACAGGGTGTGATCGAACGTTATTTACCATCAGCGAAAACTTTACCTCGCAAAACAAACTATTTACAAGAACAGGTATTTTTGAAATACTTCACACAAACAAATCTGGTGAAGGAGTTGAGGGAAATCTGAAACCGGCTCCGACACCAACTCACACGTATATACGGTCATAAATCACCGGCTGACAACATAAGCTGCGATGCAGATATCTGTGTTTGACAGCTGATGAAGCTGTGATGGAAGTTAGAACCAAACTTTACTTTACACGGTGCGAACTGATGCCAGAGTTTTTTACAAACTACGTACAAGTACAAGAAGAACATTTAAAAAGCGTATATTCTTCCCTCTGTATTTCTTTCTGTCATACAAGAATACAGTCCTAGTGAAGTACTCGTCGTAATCGTGTCTGTTTGTAGTGTAGTGTTCTCTCTGTGCTGATGCTCTGGAGATATTTCGGAATGATTCCCTGTCATTAGTGAGTCGTCCTCAAACTTTGTGTTCATCCTACCTGGTTTATCTGCACTGAAAATGTTATAGTCAATGTTTTTCCTTAAATAAAATGAATTGAATTTTTGCTTCGTTACTAACTTCAGATTTCTGTTCATCTTCGGACCCGAGCTCGCAGCTTTTCACAGTAAAAGCTCTGTAATTCAGCTCGATTTAAGGCATAGCGGCAGCAAAACAAACCTTGTGCTTTTACTTTGTAGGCAAATTGCTGAAGAGGACCTGTTTCTGTGAACGTTGTCATGATCAGCAAATGTAAATTATCGATATGCTGAAATAAAAAAACATCAAAAATGTGGTTGTAATTTTTACCCATGGTGTTTTTTTAAATGTTAGGAATATTTAACTTGTCACGAAACCAAATCGCACCAGACTTTTAATTTAAGTTTCCAAGTTGAACACATACAGACACACTTGTGGAATCAGAGGGTAGATACACAACCTGTACTGAGATTTGCTTTATATCCTTTTGTAATATTTGGGTGTAGTCTTCATATACGGCTGGTTTCTACCCTCACGTGTATTTTTATATTGATGTGTGAGATAATTAAACTAAACAAACAGCTTCAGTCCCGTGAGGTCGTTCTGTACCAGCAGCAGGTCGCCGCTGTGACAAACTAAAACAAAGACGCCATAGAAAGATGCTATCTCTCGTTGTTCCTCCACTTTCCTTGAAATGACTAACACTTGGATTTGTTGTCGTTCTCAGTTCTGTATCATTCATCCAATAACCTGCTGCAGTTTCCTCTTGACCTCTAAATATAATGGGACCTCCTCGGGGGAACAATGCTCTTTTTTTCCTGAGCGCCACGGCCTATGCAGAATTTGGGAAACGTCCCAGATGTCCTATTTATATGGTTTTATTTCCAGAAAGCCGAGAGCTAAACAAAAAAGACAGGAAACACTCTTTAAAATGTTAGTTAATGAAAACCTACGGGCGGAGGAAGGGAGGACTGGCTCCACTCGTCTGTTTATCTACGAGGCAGCGATGAGACTTGAGGCCTGAAGCTCAAACTCCTCGCGGACTCTTTGTTGTTCCAGCTTCGGATGCTGCTGCGTCGAAGGTCGTCCAGAGCTGCCGGGACTCGATTTGTCACACATGATGTTTTGAGTCTCTGAACCTCGCAGCGCAGATGTGGACGACAAAAACAGAGCAGCACAGTTTGCAAATAGGAAATAACTGACATGCACTCACTGATAAAATCCCCAATTTGTTTCCCTCTGGTTCAGTTACAGGTTTTCACTGCGGTGTGTAAAGCTTCTGTTGTCTCTCCGCCTCACAAACACACATTTTAAAATCCCCGTTTCAGTGAAAATACAGAGATTTTATATGATAAAGGATTTAATTTGCACCCCCAACACTGAGGTAAACACAGATTCAGGGTCTGTGATGTCACAAACCGAAGAAACCAATCCTGTCGGTTTGTGGGTGGGGCTCAGATCCTCATCTGCAGGCGGCTGCTGTGAGGGTGGAGAGACGGGGGAAGGGGCGGGGCAATATTAACATATTTATAGGCCACATCCACATTATTACGATTTCATTTGAGAAAGCATCAACTCTGCTAACGGTGGTGCCGTGTTAGTTTGAAAACTTGTTTAATCTGGACGAGAATGTTCGGAAACAGTGACGTAGGCGCCGATTGGGTTCCTATCACACGAAGAACACGAGCCTCAGCTACCGGAGCGACACAGAGTCTTTGTGAACAGCTGTCGTCCTGTTGAATTCTGTATTTCACAATATATAAGTGTTTACAAGTGCAGGAGACGAGCGGTTACTCGAGCATCTGCAACGATTCTATAAATCATGTACACGTAACGACCATCATATCATCTGAGGATGAACGTCTGGAACGAGTTCCGTGGCCGTGCGCCCAAAAGTCGCCTGGATCAAAAAGAAACGAGGGCTCAACCAACATGCTAGCAGCACGCATTAAAACATGATATCCCTTTTAAAATCTATTATGCATATCCACGAGTGACTGCTCTGAGACGGTTGGACTTCATTCGGTCGTCCAGATGTGGGCGGAATTGGCTCGGCCAGTGAAAACGCATGTTAAGTGATTCCCTTTCAGCAGAAAATGTGGAGTTTCAGTGAAACAGATGGTATTAGCTGCCTCCAGCCTCCAGAGGGAACCGGTTGTAGCCTCCAGATGTTTTGTCTTTTAGTGGCAAATAAGCATATCCACTCATGTACCAACTGGCAACGAGGCAATCGGGCTGCGAATGAGCTCATTTGCACAATCCTGTTTGGATGAGGTAATACTCACTGATTCAGTCTGCCACATCAGCACTGGAGGAACCACCACGACCGCTTCACTTTTCAGCCACGGTAACTGAAACTAAAGGATGTGGAGAGAGAATCAAATGGGCGAAAACCAAGTGTAATGATTTTTTTTAACTGCGGGGCGTTTTCCAAAACACTGGGCCCTTGTCTCGAAACCAGACAGAGAAAGTTTGAAAGAGAGAAAACACGTTCAGAGGATCATCTAAATCACAGTCCAGCTGAAAGCATAAACATGACTCGACTTGAAAAAGACACGGCGGAGGAATCCCTCACACTCAGAGGAAGATTCCATCCATCTTGATCTAACACTTTAAACAAAAAGTTGAACGCGGAGTTTTTTTTTTTTTCCTGCAGGATTAAACCCAGTCTGTCGTCTTGAGTCACGGTCCAGTACCAGTCTCCTCCTTCAGCTGCTGGATGTCTTGTTTCATAATCTGAGTTTGAACAGAGAGAGAGAGAGAGAGAGAGAGAGAGTCACTGCTTTGGTTTCTTAAAAACTTTATTACCTCCGCCAGGGAGGTTATTTCAAGATCTCCCCCCCGAGCTTCTAACCTTTTTAAATTCTATAATTCTCCCTGCAGGTTTTTTTTTTTCCCCTTTCACATTTTTAATTTAATTTTTTTTTTTGTGAACAGACAAGATGGAACTCAACAGGCGTCTCTATTAGTCTCTATTCAGATGGGACGATAAAGATTTCTCATTTTTTAAAAGGATCTTGATGAAAACAAATCGCGTATTTTTAGGGAACTGATATTTACAAGTGTTCCATGAATCTCAGGGTGGGACATTTCACTTTGACATCATGAGGCTTGACCCTGTGATGGATTGTTGACCCGTCCAGGGAGTAGACTTCATATGAAGATGGACGACACGTCTCCACCTCTTCCCTTCCCATATTGGGATTTGAATATTAGTTTTCTATTCCTTGTCCACAGTGAAGCTCAAAGGAGGTGACACGTGCATCAAGAGACAATAACAAATATTTACAATATTGTTCAGCCTCCATTTGTGCTACAGCCACACTGCCCGCCCTCACACCCGGGACATGTTGGCTTCATTTCTGGATAGAGGGAGGAGGACACATTCTTCTTGGATGGACTTAGTTTGATGTCTCTGTCTCCTGATCTCAAACAGAGTCTGATGACCCAAACATTGGCAGAAGGGGAAATGTGTGACTCAGTATTTTGCTTCTAACCTCGATCCTCCAGACGACAGGAGTGTTTTGTGGGATGCAGGATCCTTTGATCCTTTGTTAGGACACTTTTGTGCTCTGGAGAATGAGGCGGCGGAGGAGGAGAAGGAGGCGGAGGAGGAGGCTTTGTTGAGGCATCACAGCTGTGAGCGTTAACATGGGGGGCGCTGCAGCCTGACCAGAAAAGGAAAAATACAACAGGCACTCGTCACACAGCAAAGATTATCACTGAAGAATGAAGCGGTGAACGCTGGGGACGTGCATGTGGCTCAAATCCTCAACACATGAACGTATGAAGCAACAACCAGCAACAGAACTCATGTTAATAAAGGAGTGAATATCTGCGACGGCCGGGCAGCTGTGAGGAGGCGAGGAACCAGCCTCCGGGTCTGAACTTCTCTCTCACATCTTGTTTCTTCATCTTGGCACATTCTTTTGATCAAGAGCAGCACTGTGATGCCTTGAAGGAGACTCCGACAGCTCGGTGTGATTCTCCATTTTACATTAATCCCTCTTCCATGTGACGGTGCCTCCCAGCATCACTGGGAACTGGGAACATTTTTGAATGGCAGCAGGGTCGAAAAAACACGTACTCCGATTCTATTCAGTGAAACATCTGCGATGAACCCACTGTTAGTGGCCGGAGACATGAAGTCTAAAGATACTGCAGTTTTAAAGCCGCTAAAAGTTTGGAAACACTGGTGGCGTCATTTTAGTCTGGACGAGCACAAACAGAATTCTGGAAACGACAATCACGCTCGCTGAGACACGGCTAGAGTAGGTACCGGAGGATGAGGTCCCACTTCTTGCTATATAAAAGGAAAATTAAGCAAAACAACATTCTGTTTTTAAATATGATATTTAAGATTACCCTCATGTTCCCGGCCTCGACTGCTTTAACTTTGGAATCTTATCTGTTACAATAAACAGCCAGGGGGAGTTCTCATGATTATCTCTCATCAACCTGACCAACGACGACACAATAATAAATAACAGAATGTCTGGAGATCCCTGTGTGATACACGGTTTTTAGGCCTGCAGCGTTTAAACACAGAAGGTCGTAAAAGTTTAATGAGTCACTTGATTTACTCTTAAACCGGATCCCCTGGTGTTTGGCATCGGTTGAACGGGTGTGACAGACGTTTGTGGCCTTTTACAGCTGCACAAAAAAAAAAACAACACACAAACGACCACGACAACACACACTTGTCGTTTGCAGCGTCACTCCTGCTGCTATTTTTACTCTTTCCTTCCCCACAGTGCTGTTCAAAGTCACATCCACGGCATTAGCTGTCATCGCAGCGCAGACGAGGATCCATTATGGAGCCATTACTTTATGTAATTTGTTATTCCCAGAAATCCTCATCTGGCCGGAGTTCAACCCTTCTGCTCTCTCTCTCTCTCTCTCTCTCTCTCTCTCTCGAGACGGCAGGTCAAGTGAGGACGGCCGGATAAACACAACGTAGAAAATAATGAGGCTGAAGCTGACGACTGATTTATTTTTCCTATTGTCAGTTTACTGCCCACCCACTTGCTTTGTACATCTGCAGGACGTCAGACGTCAGAGTCGTCTTTACGTCCACCTGTGATTTGAATCAAACATCATTTTGTTTGAGGAAACACTGACTTCATTCTCTCGTCCTATCTACAGATTAGCAGAGGTGCTGAAATTATTTTTTTTGGGGGGGGGGCGGGCGAAGGAATAACCCTTTGTGACTCACGATTCTCAATAAGAAAAAAACAAAACATCTGGGAGCTGGACTCACATCCAAATAAAGTCAAATCAAACAACGGAGAATCAGACAGACGTTATGTCAACGGCTGATGATGGAAGATGGTATTCTCATAATTTTTTAGGCAGACTTTGGCAGCGAGACAAAACTGTCACACACACACACACACACACGATCAGGAAAGATTCCAGCGTGATGACTGAGCAGTGCAGCTCGCTTCAGATTCACTCTTTTTTACACGCGTGTGCCGCTGCAGCTAATGAGCTGATGAGCACACAACACGTCACGTTGCTCATTTGATGTGGCGATTACAACTCCGAGCTCCAGACAGTAAAACACGCAACAGACGTTTCAGACGATACAAGAAGATTAACGATTTTTTAAATCCTCTACGGTCAATATGCAGCTAATTCATGACCTTTAACCGAGCTGGACGGCGGAGCAGCCTCCATGTTGTTTCCACAGCACCTGTGTTTTTCATTTGACTCAGAAAAACCTTCATAAATGTGCCCGTGAAAAACAGGATTGGCCCCGTCTCAACACTTTTTCCAGTAACTGCCCTCTGATGAAAATCAAGTAAAAACAAGGTTAGTGTGAAAACAGTGAAACAAATGGAGCCTGTGATTGAGATGAGAGCTCCTCATCAGGGGATTCATCACAATTATGTTCCTCTAATGGTCGAACAGAAGAATACAAACACAGTTTTAGCTGCACATTCACTGGAAATTGGATATCGATGAATTAAACTGAATCGCAAACATCATAATAATTCTCCAGAGAAGAGTGTAAACAGGATGAACCATGGGAGGAGTGGACGGAAATTAAAGCCGGGGTTGGTAAACCTGGAAAATCTTTTGCTATAGCAACCCATACATCCCGCCCCCGCTAATTAGTTCAATTAACCGAGCTGGACAGTGGAGCTGCCTCCGTGTCGACCATCAGGCCTCTCGTCAAAGCTTTGCCCCTAAAAACAAATAATAATAATAATAATAATAATAAATACACAAGATATGAAAAAAAAACTCACAGACACACAAAGATATGTTTCTGACACGTGTCCACACCAAAGTTTAAAAGGTTCCGACAAGTTTTGTTTTTGCTTAATTCTGCAAAACAAACAAATGTCATCAAACTCTCATCTCAAGTATTTGACTAATTTGAGCCACGTTTTAATAATCGTCTGCCGCTCTGCTTTGTTTTGAGATAAACTTTGAAGTCAATGTCAAATTCTCCGTGTTCCCTCTCGCTCACAGTTCTCCTGCAGTACATGCTGTACTTTACGAGCCTCGGGGGCCACGGGGAGAAACGGTGAGGTGTCGAGGGAGGTGAATGCTTGGGGGCCTCTGAGCTGGAAGAAGGATAGAAAACCTCGTCAGAGCAGCACAAGTGTTGGTGTCTGGCTGAAGGGAGTCGAGTAAAAGTCTGCTCCCTTAAACTTAAAGAGGTTTACTAAAGAAACAGTTTGACTCCGAGGATTGAATCAGGTCCTTCCACACCTTCCCCCTCTCCGTGCCTCTACCTGCCCAGGTGACCTGCTAGATCATAACGTGTTACATACATGAACTGGAGCTCGGGGCTAATGTGAGCACTGCATCTCCTCCTCACTCTTCTGTTGCCTCTGGTGAGACGAGCTTTTCAGATTCAAAACTGGAAAGTTACACAAGGTCGACTCAGTGTGGCGAGAGGCTCGGGGAGAGGGGGGCCCCTGTGTGATGTGTTCCTCAGGGGACCCTGAATCTCAGTAAATCGCTTCTTCTCATGGACACTGTCATGGACTTTATCTCACTTTGTGTAAATGGTTTTATTTTCAAAGAGAATCTCTGACCACAGCCTCGAGCACGACAGTTTGGCAAAGTGAGAGATTCAAAGCTCACATGGGGACACAATTATTCAATTATCCAAATTATCTTCTGTAAACATCCATCACAGTTTACAGACTCTCTGAACTTTGACCGAGTGTGCCGACAGTAGCTGCAGTTCTCCTTGGCGGTGATGGATGATTATTTATAATTTCTGGGCGAGCTCGCCTTCGTAAATGTTCCGTTTAATTTCCCTGATTTCAGAAAACATTTTTAAACAAACCTGAACAAAGACAATAATCGCTCGGTCGTTAAATTTCTAATCTTTGACATTATGTTGGTTCCAGGTTGTTATGCATGACTGAACCTTTAAATATCACGTCTGACGTATTTCCACAGTATCACTTATTTCATGATGCACTCTATTAACGATGAGCTGATGATCTTTTTGCTTCCTTGCAGCCGTCTGGTGGCTAATTAACATTTCACTGTATTTGCCTCTGGGTATTTAGCTCTGGGAACGCGCCTCTCTTTAATGCGTCCTCGACCTCAGACAGGATCTGAACAGATCGATATCTGCGAGCAGAGCTGAGAGCATCCTGTCGGACACAGATCTGTAAATGATGAACGCAGGAGGAGCTTTCATCTCACTCGTGTTGCTGGTGAAACTAGACCGACTCCGGTTTTTCCAGAGTAAAGCGGCTTAACGCTGCGGACGAGCAGTGACGTGTGTGTTTTCGTTTGATGTCCACAAACATTGAACCTTCACTGGGCTTCAGGCACATTTTGGCAGATAGATGAAGAGCGAAGTGTCTTCAGCTAATAACTGACGGGATTTCAGTTTCAGGCAGAAAACAGGAGCGGAGACAACTTGCAGTTTTGGTTGTTTGATATAAAACTATGGCATCGAGGTTAAAGTGAACAGAGTGTGGACTGTAAATAAAGATGGACGACACGAAACTGCCTCCCAAAAATGAAGCCAAAGTGTTTTGGCTGGTTGCAGCATAGGTTCTAAATCCCCCATGTTAGCAGATGGGACATGGACCAAACGAAAACAGAAAGAAAGTGTAACCCTGACAGTGACAGATGATATAACACAGTGAGTCCGCTGCAAACTATCGATGGAGGCTCCACCACGTTGCATCATTACGAAGTCTTGACCTTTAATTACACCCAATCAGCATCCTGCTCAAACTGCCAGGACCCGGTGCCAGAGCGCGTGATGCCTGCGGATTGTCTGTGACATCAGATGATTGAGTTGGAACCTCTGCCGGTTTGTGAGATCTCTAACGGAGATCAGCTCAGGAACAATGAATCAGGGAAGATGTGAGCACCTGGAGCGAAACCCAGCAGCCACAGACGGCGATGAGTCAGTCTTCCGACGCTCGATCCAGAAAAGTCGCGTGTTGATTGAAATCAAGAGCAGATTTATTTTAATCCCAAACTCACATCTTAAAGAGGCGAGAGCCACGTGGTGACGACACTAGATGCAGCGCTCGGTGGTCTGAGGGACGTGGGACATTAACGGGCCAGTTAGAAAACAGCTGGCTGAGATGCAGATGTGCATCCTCGTCATGCTGCTGCAGGTCAGAGACTGATCTCTCCATATGGTCGTTAAAACCTCAGGAGGAAAAAAACCACGTCGGCTATAAAATTCTGTATTTCACACACAGACAATTAGCAGGTAGATAAAAAACTATGTGAACTTGTAAATTGAAAATGTAGTGGAGCAGAAATATTTGCTGATATGTGCAGTGCAGTAAAAGTATCTGAATATTAATCTACTTTAGTAAAATACAGATATATTAAAACATTGTCTTCGGTAAATGAACTTTCTAAGATCCCAGCACTGGATGGATGGATCCATTTTTCGTGAGAATTTCTTTCATATCCATTTTAATACAGCACATGTTATTTTAGTCATTCCTTCCTCTTCCAGCTAAAAGTCACGAGCTTGTTTATCCTGTTCATCCTCACAAACTTCTGTTTTCGCAGTAATTTCCGTCGTACATCTCCTGGGAGCATAGACCCAGAAAAAAAAAAAAAAAAGTCACCTGCACCCGGAGACGTGTGTCCCCGGTCTTCAGAGGACACTGCACTCATGAGAATCTGGACAAAGTGAGGAAGCGTAAATTTAGGATTTAGGACTGTTTAAGACTCCGAAATATCCTCTCTAAACAAATGGAATCCTCTGGGACGTCAAAGACTAACATTTCACAGCAGAGTGTTTCCCTGTGAACAGAACGGTGTTTTCAGCAGCAGTCACAGACGCAGCACGAAGCCAGAGTAAACAATGCCCCCCCCCCCCCCCCCCCCCACACACACACACAAACAGAAGGACTGTGTGTGATGTATATCTGTAGATATCTGGTATTTCTTCTTTTCTCTCATGGTTTTAAAATACTTACTTTTGCCAGAAGTGCTCTTCATCTGAAAGAGCATCTCGAGTGAAAGCAGGTTTTTTTTTTTTTTTCCATTTGCCTTTTGACTCACCCGATTAAAAAAAAGGCTGTAAGGTCAACGTGTGCAGGCCGGCCCACTCGACTAGCTCCTGGTGATGAAGGATTCCCTGGAGGTGTCCTCGTCAGAGCCGGACTGTGGAGCCTTCCTCTGCTCGGTGTCTCCACGTCCTTTGAGCCTGTGAGATTAAAAGATGACAGACCAGGCGACAAAAAGAGAAGGAAAGAATATAAATAGCCGAATTCCAGTTTATCTAAAATGTCTTGACTCAGTGTGCGGCCGGATGCCGGTGAACTTCTTGACTCACGTCTCCTCATTCCATGAAAAGTCACATTCCTGTTTATTAATCATTTCTATTGCAGCTGAGACGTTGGAAGAGCCGAGGGTCGCGGTACCTGTGAAAGGCCAAAGAAATGTTCTGTGGAAAACTTTTGGGTCATATATTAGAAGGCGAAGTGTTCCCCCTTGTATTTTGTAATACTAGTACTCGTCTGTGTGTAATGTTGTGTTCTCTTGACCTGCGGCGATGCTCCGCAGCTACTTCACAATCCTCAAACTCTTCTACAATAAACTGTCACTTGTTATCGTTTGTGTGCGGAGCTTTTTATAACCTACGATGCAGAGTGACGTCAGAAAATGTTGTGTTCATCCTACCTGGTTTTTGAACACCTGAACACCAGCGTGACGAGAACTACCTAGAATGACGAACGACGAAAAGAAAAACATTTAACGTGTACTTTGAATTCTTTATTTTGTCAGAGTCCCAAACACTGACATAGAGGAGGCAGCGTTTACGACCTATACTGCATCCAGCCACCAGGGGGCGATCAATACTTTGGCTTCACTTTTGGGCGAACTGCCGCGTCGTCTGGCTCTAAACAGAACTGAAGACATTTTCAGTCACAGTTTTATAATCATCGGGTTCCAGAAGTCATAAATCCAGATTATTCTTTTTAAAACTAACGTGCACTTTATTCTGAACTTAATCTTAAAGACTCACCCGGCGCATCACATTCCGCTTTTTTCCGCATATGTGCACAACCTGCCCGAGCTCCGAGCCTGCGACCCGCTCCGTCTGGTAGGAAGTACCCGTTCACTCTGCTGCCAGGGAAATGTTTAAACATTTTTTTATACGATAAATTACATTAAACATGGGCGAGTTTCTTTTGAAGCGAATCCCACAAAGAAGAAATGGAATAAGTGAAGAGGCTGGAAATGTTTTCTTCTTTTCCTCCATCGAGCCCACAACATCTTCCATGTAAGACGTAAGTGGGACCATACATATGGTGGGCAAATGTTGATTTTAAAACCGTTTTCCTCTCAGAGGCTCAAACCACAGGATTAACTCAATGCAAACATTATTTTTAGACATGAAATTTAAATGACAGAAAGAATAAAACAATTTTCGTTCGTCGTTGTTGTGACTGTTTTGCATCTTAAGTGTAAAATGTGTTAATTTGCTGCAGATGTGTTAAACACAAACATGTTTTGTATGAAAAACAATGTTAATGCACTGTAACATGTTTGTGTTTGGATTCTCGTCCAGCTGTGAGGCTGATTTGAAGTAGCTTCCAAAACTTTACTCTTCTGATTACATGAGGACTCTGAACAATACCCAATTAATGTTGATCGTTTCAACCTCGTCGTGGCACGAAACAGTCATCGGGAAAACAAATGTCCCTTTAAAACTCACGTTACCTCCGACAAGGAGGTTTTTCATCTGCGTTTCTTTGTTTCATGTTTGTTTGTCAGAAGGATTACGCAAAAACCTACTGGAGGGATTTCCACCGAACTTGGTGAAGTATGGAAAGAACTCATGAAACTCTGTGTGGATCCGGATTTCTAAGAATAAAGATTGAATCTTCGTCAGGGTTCTGTTTTCATTTCTGTCCATTTGTTTGGGGGTTTGATTAGTTTTTAAACATACGAATGCAGAAGGTTGATATCAATGAATGCAAATTCGTACAAGTCAAAGTCTGGATCCAGTGCTGGAGTTTCCATAGATAAAGAATCTTTCCTCCTCTGATAAAGAAACGTGGCCTGAACAGCAACTTAAATATCATCAAACTTAAAATAAAAAAAAAACATCAGTTAAACATGGACACAATTATCAAAAATACAAATGTGTTCACTATAAGATCATCAAACGAGGAAAACTCACATTGATCGTAATCAAACCTGAAGGAGGAGGCGTCCACCAGGAGATCAGCCATGTGTGTGTGTGTGTGTTCAGAGGAGGAACAGCTGACTTCCTGTATAACGTCCGGAGGCGGAGCCACAGGAGGAAGTAGCCAGGTAAGGGGAGGAAGATTTTAAATTCAACATTTAGATTTAACATTATACGAGTTAGATGTAAAGTTTAACTTTTAGATTAAGATTCAACGTCGAGGTTTGAATTTAATACTCAGATTTAACGTTGACATTATCTTGAATATATATATATAAATATTTTGGCGTTTTTTTTTTACCAAAGAAGTAAATATTTACAAATATTTGTTTATAAAAAGTGACTTTAATGGTGAAATGTTATTTTCAGGACGCGCAGCTTCACAGTCGATATGTTCGAGGCCTTGAACTCTTCCGAGACGTTTGTGCGAACTCGAGGAGCCTCAGGTTGTCTGAACCAATCGTCCATCCCCCTCGTAGCTCTGTTTATCTCTGGTCTTCGTGCGTTAACAGTCGGTCCAGTTGGGACACTCGCGCGGCACCTCAGGGGTCCAGAGATCCGATCGCTCAAGAGAGATACAAACTTTTCCTGTTTTTCCTTCTCAGTTTCCAAATCAGCGTCTCTGAGGATTCAAAACAAATGTCGAGAAGAAGAAGTGGAAGTATCAAGATGCAGAAACGCTGAAAGTGCCAGAATGCATCTGTGCGGAGATTAACTTTAAAAAATATTTGGATCCACTCGTCCACACACACTTAATCCCCTCCATGCGGGTCACTGATTGGGCACGAACAAAATGTAGTTGAAATGTGGGATTAACTTTCAGTCTCGCACCAAAAATGGATGTGAAATGGACGGAGGGCTCGGCTAACATCAGAGGATTAACCCGTGGAGAGTTCCCACCGTTTTATTTCTTTACGTACGAGGCCTCGGGTCCGTCCTTCGGCCCTGTTTGTCATCTCATTTGGTCTTTTAATGATGGTGGTGGAGAGAGAGGCCCAATGTGTGTCTCCCATAGGTGTTTGGTTGGGTAGAACACGTTTCAGTGACACACACACTCGCTCGGACATTGTTTGACAATGACAACATATCCACAGCAACATGTGAGAATGTGTTCTGCCTGCTGGGTGTGTGATAAGAGAGAAGATTGTGATGAAACAGCTGGAGTCGGTTACTGCGACACACTGAGATGAACATCAGGAAGCTGAGGCTGATCAGAAGATAAAAGCTCCGCCAGCAGAAAAAAAAGAAATCTCCTGATAAGACTTCGAGCATCTTTCCCTCCTGATCTCGTGTAGAATCACGTCCTGAGTCGTGTTTGTTTCATCACAGGATGTAAATGATTGAGATTTCCAAACTGGTGATGTTCCTAAATATCTCCCCTGTTTACGATACAGAATAAATTACTGTTCTGTGATGGTTTGATTTCAAAGTGCAGCCTGGTGATGTGCGCGTGTGCTCGTTTAGTTTTGCGTGTTGGCGTCGGTCAGAGGAGAAAGAGTCAAACGTCTGCTGCCCCAGCACGACCTATACTGAGTCCAAACCAAACTGCTCATCACAGTGTTGTGAAGCCTCTCGTTTATCCATGAATGTAATATTTTTTACTCTGTCCTTTCATTTGGCATCGACAACCAATCGGGAGCGGCCCTGGACGACGGTTTGAAGAAACCATGTGTGAGACAGGCGAGGGACAGGGGAGGACAGGGGGACGTCTCTGGATGGTCGATGATGTGATGGTTCAGAGGTTTGGTTTCAACGTAGATTTTGAAAACGCTGGGGGGCCGCCCACCTTTGATTGGTGGATGTTAACCTCTTCATTTATAAATAGACGTCGTGACGTAGAGACGTCAGAGTTTCCCCTGAAAGGTCCGAGCTGGTTTGAAACACTGGGTGGCGTAATGAGCCACGTTCAAACCCATAAATTTAGATTTTTTACGAGTTTGTTTCAGCTAAAAAAAAAACACATTCAGGTGCAGCATCACTTTAATAAGAGCAACGTGTGAGGGCCAGAATGAAAATTGAGAAAATGTACTCTTTAACTTTAATGTTTGGATGAATACTTATAGAACAAGTGTCCTGAGTTTAGAATGAATCCTGGTGACGAACAGTGGAGTGGAGACGAGTGGAGTGGAGATTTGTTCCAGAGTGTTTGCTCAGGTGCACAACAGTGGGGTGTAGTTCTTGGATGAACTTGAATCTGTGGTTCAGGGCTTGATCTCAGTCAGAGGCTCCTCTTTCTTCCCACACACACTGATTTCAGTGAGTTTCCCATCACTGGAGGAACTGAGGGAATACAAACCTATGAGAGAGTGTGATCATCACAGATGTGGGAGCTGCACGACCGAGCACAACGAGAGACAAAGAACACTTCTTCAAAAGTTCCAGTCACAGGGATGATCTTGTTTTTTTTAAACTCATTAACATCTTTGGATTATTGTTTTTATTCAAAGACACTTCAGATTCATAAGAATCGATCTCAGAGGAGACAAACTGCGTTTCAGAGAAGGAACTGGTGTAATGAAAAAATCATTAAAGTTAGTTAATATGTGTTTTAATATAAAAAATATTGAATATTGCAGCTGAAATTTTTTTTTAAAATTAGTATATAAACATCTGGTGTCATATTTATTTTCTAACAGCTGTATTAAAACTTTAATATTAGGAATAAAAACCATTGAGAACAGCCAGTAACATATGAATGAAGCATGAGCACAGTTAATTATGTTGTGTAGTTTCCACCTTTTAATTTCAATGAAGTTCCCAATTAACTTCTGCTCTAACGTCAACATTACAACGTGAAGCTTGTCTTGTAGCGCCTCCTGGTGGTCGAGAGACATTTCAACCTCCCACACATCCAGAGGAGTAGAAATAAAGAATCTTGAGGCCGTGTCTCAAATTGAAATCACATTTATTGTTTGTTCTGGAGTCGATTCACTTAAAACTTGCCCCTTTGTGTACAGTACTTTCCTCAACTGCATCTTTTTCTTCGAAGTCATCGTCACTCGTCTTCTCACACACACACACACACACACACACTCTCTCTCTCTCACATCCATTCACACCAAGCAGCCAGTTTCACCAGCTGAGGCTTTTTCAGGCAATTTTTTTAAAAGGGATCCAAACGCACCCCCCTCATCGTTTACATCTCATAATGCAGCCACAGACCTGTGAGGGGCGTCTGTTACTCAGCGGACACAGGGAGAGGATCATCATCATCATCATCATCACCATCATCATCATCTAGACGTGCAAAGAAGTCGTCCCCTTGTTTATTAGAGTCCTTTGATACCAGGACGTGACAATCACATTACAATGTTTTCCTCGCACTCGGTCGCTCGTCGTCTCGTTGACCCGGAACATTCTCACCAGCACCAAAGTTTCAGCTTGGAGAGACTAACAGATAACAATAAAAAATACTCTAAGATTCACCTTGCAGGACTGCAAATACAGAAATGCACAGAGCAATAAAAAAGACATAGATCAAGGTTGAAATCAAATCACACCAGAGGAATTAAGATCACTTAATTTTCTTTTTCAACTACCTTGCTATTAGAACCGCAGATCGCTCTACTAGCATCCACAGCTTCTTAAGTACATGTAGTTATATAGTATGTATCTATACTCCATAAAAGGGTCGGGGTATCATTTGGATTGAACAGTCATGTTGCAAACACTGGAACAAAGTTTAAAAGGTCATCAGCCGACACGGACCCTTCGGTTATTGCTTCAGCTCTACGTTGGTATGAACACACTTTCTGAAGCATTGTAGAAAGAGACAGAGACTTCGGCCCCCGGGAGCCCGAGGTCGGCGGCGTTTGTGTTCAGGAACGAGGGCTGAAGTTTGATTTGTGTTTAACTGGAATAATCGAACCCTACAGTAACAACGAGAGTCCCGTGAAGCTGCTCCAGTGGAGTGTTTCAGACAGAGGGGCCTCGGCGGGGCCCGCGGGGGATCGCCGCCGCCGCCGCCGCCGGGTCAGTCCATTGTTCAGTGTGGAGCCTTGGGGAACTCGAGAGCTGTGCAGAGTTTCCTCCACCATCAGGTCCAATGTAAACAGCTGTTACAGAGGCAAGACAAGGAAGTAAACAGACTCTTTGGCACATCCTACACGGTGATGGATGCTTTAAAGTCCTGATCAGACTTCACGCAGACAGGCCCCCCCCCGACGTAGTTCGCTTAGAGCGCGGGAGGCGTCCGATCAAGCAGTTCTACTTCCGTCCGTCTCTTTCAAATGGGAAACAAATGCACGTTTGCTATGTATGTACACAAACATACAAACTAAGACACACACCCAGACTGCGTGCGGGAGTAAAAGTGCAACGCTGACCTATTTTTCCAAACATTCCAAAGATCTACTTAAGCTTTAAAATGACCTAGTTTACCACATTCAGATGCATGAGAATCGTTATAAATAAATAATAATTTGGGCGACACTGAAAATGGCAGGAAAAAAACTGGCAAACACTGCGAACGGAAAAAAAACTTTCGAAACGCGTGGCGCTGAGCAATTTTCTGTGGCCCCACTTCTCAATATATATATATATATTGAAACGCAAACAGCAGCTCCGTGCTGGAAACAGTAAACTGAGAGTAGCAACATCACGAAAAGGCAAAAACGTCAAAGGTTCAGTAAAACAGGGCGAATGTTTGATTGTGTGTTTTTGTGTGTGTGTGTGCAGATAAGGTTTTAATAGGTGCTTCAAGCTACATTCAAGCAAAATGTATATTTGGGGGAAGTCAATACATGAGAAAGTTAACTCGGGGATCTTCCCTTTTTTGGCTGTGCTTCCACTTCTTGCTCCTTTAACCGATCAGAATTAATCAAATTTCATGTTTCAGTAAGTGCTGAGTGACCTCAACGGTAAAAGTGCCTCTTTTAACACCAAGTGTTACCACATGTTTAAAATCTCAACAACAAGATTAGCGTAAATGTCCTTAAATCTCAGTCCGGGGGGGGGGGGGGGGGAGGGGTGTCACAGACAAGGGGAGGGGGAAGTTTGATTAACCCCTGATTCGCCCAGTGAGCGAGAGGAGGGCGACAGCGACGTTTCCGAATCATCACTCGAGATAAACAAGAAACACACGACGTGAGTTTGTCTCTCCTTGTAACCTTGGACAGTTCCCACAATCCCCGGTGTGCAGATAAGCCAGGAGAGCTTGGTTCCCATGGTAACGGGACTTACGAACAGCCTGGAAAGCTACTTCAAAAGGTGCTTGGGGCTCCGAGGGCTCTTTGGAGGGGAGACGCTCGTCCATCCACAACAACACTTTGTGAAGGCCAAAGAAACAGATGGACGAAAAAAAAAGAACGTGTGAAGGCAGGAGAAAACAAGACGGGGTTAAAAAAAAAAAAAAAAAGGACAGTGAGCGATGACTTTGAGCTTACACCATCTGGGGGGGAAGGGGGATGGGAGTCGGAGAAAGGGCGGGCTGCTCCTCCGAGACCTTTACGACCTCTGTGGCAGTGGCGGTGCGAGCGCACTCGGCTACAGGCGTAGGGGAGCGGCTGTTAGGCGCCGTGGTGCGGGTCGGGGTGGAGCTGAGGGCCGGCGTGGTGGAGGTAGAGGTGGAGGCTGGGGCGGAAGCCTGGGCCGGGTCGTCGGCCGGGGCGGGGGGTTCAGTGGAGGACGCTCTGGGAGCAGCGGGCTTGTTGTAGTTCATCTTGAGGATGTGCTGCTGGAGGTGTCTGATCCAGTCCTCCTGCACCGACAGCGGACCGTGAAACTCCACCTCGCAGAACCTGACGGAGACACACACACACACACACACACACACACACACACACGTGAGCTGGGAATTGAACTAAATGCCACCGACGCTGTGGATTAACTGCAGCAGCTATCGTGGCTCCGGCAAAGTTGTCCCACAAAGAAATAAAATGAAATGTGATGCTGTTAAATTCACTGCGTCCCCCGGGGAGCAAGCTATTCTGTGCAAACTTTTGTGCTGCAGTTACATCAGAACATCAGAACTCATTCACGGTGAGTGAAAATCCCAAATGCTCCTCTCGTCTCAGTGTAGTGCATTAGCCCTGTACTGTTCAGCGGGGGGGTGGGGGAGGGGGTGGGGTGGGGTGATTGCTGCTCGGGGATTAAGTGACTATTCAAATTTTTAGCCCCGACAGATCCATTACGCAGCTGTCTCACATTTTTTCTACTGCTCCTGAACGTCGTTCAGGTTTCACTCACCGGCACTTCAGGGTGTAGAACTTGCCCACCAGTTTGACCAGTGGGTAGGAGGGTGGTTTGGGCACCAGGGCAGGGACGGTGCCTGTGCGGGGGGGCTTGGGAGGGCCGCTGTCTCTCTCCGTTCCATCTGGACAAGACGGGTGCTTCAAGGGCCGCCGCTCGAAACCTTAGCAAAGGGAGGAGGCGACATACTTGTATTTAAGTGCATCAGGCTACAAGAATTGCTTTTGCTGCTAGAATTTAAATTTGTGTTTGGTAACTGAAATAAAAGGAGGTAAAAGCATATTTGAAAAAAGAAGCACGAGGAGCTCTTGACTGCAGAAGGTAATGTTAAAACTGCCCGGAGTTTAGAATCTGGAAACTGAAGTCGACAGTAGAAATGTGTAAAGATAAGAACTGAGGCCAGCACAGTGTAAACACTTCATTCCAATGATTTCAGTGTTTCAGACTGTTTCTTTATCTTACTAGTCCGAAGTTTTCACAAAGTTAAAACTGCTCTTGTGTTGCTGGGAGTCTTCAGTCCGCCTGTTCCCTCTGTGAGGCTCCACTTTTAATAGTACTAATAATAATATCTTTACTTTTTTAACATTTCTCAAAGCACAGTGCTTCCCACACAAAAGACACGCAAGTAAAAATACCTTAAAACTAATTTAAAACGTCATAACAGAATAAATAAAAGAATAAAAAGTAAAAAGTACAATGTGCTAAAATTAGGAAATGCAATATGATAAATGTACGTTTTAAATTTTGATTTAAAGAAGCTACTGACTCAGACTGATTTAATTCAGTGTGTTCCAGAGCATCTGAGCTCTTCAAAGCTCGACGAGTCAAAGAGATCTGAACGTCCAATAGGTTTGTAACCAAGCAACCAACATCATTTGCATCGCTAACGGGGGACAAACTCTGACACATGCAGGTATGTACACGACTTCTGTGCGTCCTGGATCCTCACGTACCTCTGGGCAGACGGACATTCAGCTCACTACGTGCCACCTGTGCTTGAAGCGGGAGGCCGCCGGCGAGCCGCGAGGGGCTAGGACTGCTGCAGCCGGGCCGGGCGGCGGCGGCCCGGAGGTCGGAACCAGCTTCCACGCCCTCCGCGGTCTTGGAGGAGCCCTGGTTGACGTCGCGGCTCTGCGATCGCACCAGGCTCACAGCCAGGGAAGAAGCCCACTGCGAGGAGGGCGAGGAGGTGGAGGAGGCTTTCTGTGATGAGAGGGAGAAAGATACGTTTCCTCATCGGGTCTAAGCTCACGACACTGAGCTGCCGTGTTCTGGTGACGTTACAACGGTACCTTGTTATGACTGGAAAGCTCAAACATAGCGACAAACATCCAGGACTTCAACGATGGATTCAGGAAAATTATTCATCGCAGCCACACAACTCATAATTACATTTCTGCAGCACAGTGACGGTGAAATGATGTTTCCACGAATGCTTTGTAGTAAACCACCAGGAATAAAGTGGATCTAATGCCCAAGAAGTATTTTTAATTTTTAAATACCATTTTTGGCATTTGTTTGTATTTCGGAACTTTTATCATGATGTAGTTCCTCAAGCAGAAGTTAGAAATTTATATTATATAAGAAAAAAACAGATTGTTGTTGTCACTGCCGAAAATAAAACGCTGATGAAACATTTCCGTAGCCTCTTTCTTAGTGGGGTTGTTAAAGGGTTAAAGTTAAGATGGATTATTCTTGCACTTTGTCGTTCTGTCCATAACAGTTTTAAAAATGTCTAAATATATTAATATTTCCCAAGTGTCCAAGATCTCACCCGTTTCCCTAAGAAACTGCAACCATGTTTTTTTTTTTTTTTTAAACATAATTAATCAGTCGCAGATTAATTTCTGTCAACCCACTGGTCAATTATTCAATTTACATTCTCTTTAATTGGATAAATACATTTCTAATCATGCCATCGGTCACGACTCGGTCCTCAGGTGTACGTGTAACCGTCCGGTACGAGCAGCCTAAATTTTCCCAGTATGGAAGAGAAACGTACAATATGATTACAAGGACGTTTAAAAGGTAATCCATTCTGTATGTGTGTCACATCCCAGCTCAGGGAAAAGGTGTGACAGTGACGCAAATGCACCAGAAACTAATTCAGCGGTGGAGGGGGGGGGGGAGAAAAAGGAATAATAAAACACGTACATTTCCTTCTATCAGCAGCAAACCGTAATTTATCTGAAGATGAAACATAAGCTGCCAGGCACCCGGGTTACTATGGCAACTATCAAGCCAATAGCTGAGTTGTTCTGGCATCAGTCCCCACAGTGATTTTTTTTTTTTGCAGGGTGTAAAGACACAGGATCTACAGTGAGGCTCAAAGCTGTTAGACAACACGTCTGAAGCTTTCCAAGACACAAAATGTCTGTCGAGCCACCAGCTGAGGAATGTTAGATCTCCGAACATGACGCTGGGAGGAGAGGGAGTGTGTCGGGGATGTAGCACAGTGGGTTTTTATCTCTCGCAGATATTTCACATTTTCTCCCTGACAAGAAAAGAATTTGCAACAGTGGATTTTTGCCGGAGTGCAGATTCACCCAAACGATGCCCGAGAACTTAAGTGACGGGACGCCGCCTCACCTTCTTGAGAGAGGAGCGGCTGCCCTGCATGTAGCTGCGGTGCATTTCCAAAACCTTCTGTGGCCTGCTGCGCATCCAAGCGCTGAGCGTCTCGATGGGGGATCCATTCACACACCACTCGGTCACGCCGAACTGCCTCAGGTGGGCCCGTGCGTGGCTGGCCAGAGCCTTGCGGTTCTCAAAGTAGAAACCGCACAGCTCACAGCTGGGATCTGAAGTGGAGGAGGAAGAGGAAGAAGAAGAAGAGGAGGAGTCAGTACAAAACTGATGAAGAGCAAAATCAGAAAAGACGAAAACCTGACAGCTACTCGCCCTGGTGTCCGTGCTTGTCCGGAGAGGCTTTTCTTTTGTAGGAGAAATCGTGTGGCAGAGGGGAGAACGTCTTCAGCTGACGTGGAGGAGAGCGGGACGTCTCGCCGGACTGGGACTCCTCTGACTGGGGTCTTTTTCCCAGCGGGGACATCCTGAAAAGCTTCCCTGCCGGTGGCGTCGCTGAGGTGCCCACGGACCCCAGGCCCTGCTTATGGAGTCTCGACCCCGACTGCAGCAAACTGAGGGGAGATTTACGGAACTTGGACGACTGGTAGCCCGAAACTGACAAACCCTCTGAGCTGCTGGAGCCCCCGGTGTTCTCCCATCGGTGGGCCCCCTGGCTCGACTCCTTCTTCACGCCCAGGTCGGAGGAGGAGCTCACCCCTCGCTTGTGCATAACCTCCTTTAGGGTGTCGATAGGCGAGCCGTTGACGGACCACTCTGTGATGCCCATCTGGCGCAAGTGGGAGCGGGCGTGGCTGGAAAGGCCTTTACGGTTTTCAAAATATTCTCCGCAGAACTCGCAGCGGATATCCCTTGTTGGCTCGACCTCATGGGCCATGGCTGAGGAAGGAGCAGAGGAAGAATGGGAACATATTTAATACAGACACAACAACAACACAGGTCCGACCACATCAACAGACAAAACTCAGGGTTAACGTTACCCAAGTTGAGGGGGAACGAATTGTCTGCGCTGCTCCAGCTGCAGCCCAGAGGTTCAGCGGAGAAGCTCCCAGATCTCCCCACAGCTCCAGGCGTGGTGACCTCCAGCTGCACCGGCTCAGGCTTCAGCTTGAGGATTAGCCCACCAGAAGAAGACGTCGGAGGAGCCGAGCCCGATTTAGACACGGTGGGCTGAGGAGGACTGGAGGGACGGGCGAAGGTGAAGGGCAGGCGACTGAGGAGGGTGGCTGAAGGGGAGGAGGAGGTGGACAGAGGAGAACGAGGGGGCCCCGGCGAGGATGGAGGTGGAGTTTTGAGAGGTTTTAGAGGAAGGGCGCAGGGGAGGCCCCGTCGTGTGATGATCTCCCTCAGGGTGTCGATAGGCGAGCCGTTGACGGACCACTCGGTGATGCCCATCTGGCGCAGGTGGGAGCGGGCGTGGCTGGAGAGCCCTTTGCGATTCTCAAAATACTCCCCGCAGAACTCACAGCCTATTTCCTTTGGAGGTTCGCCTGAGAGTCGATGTGTTTGACAGAAAAAAGAATTACACCTCATCCAACAAATGTGATTCTTAAGACGTGCACTGAACTCCGGATAATCTCCAGAGGAATCATCCTCCGGAGGATGTAAACGTCAGAGTGAGCAGAAAAACAGCTGGAGATTATCTGGAGCATTGACGACGTTTCTAACACGTGATGCACGAAAGAAAATATAAAGAACACGATTCTCTCCGGATGTAAAAAGAGGAGCAATGCACAGAGTGATATTGGTCGACGCTAGTGTCAATGATTCGTAAATAAAAACAGGTGATCTCCGCAGCAGACTGATATGTTACCTCCTGCACCACCCATCACCTGGTAACTAAGATTTCAATATATTTCTGAGTTGCAGTAAAAGCTCCTGTGCTTCTCCAGCTGCGCTATTCACATGTGAATGTCTGAAAATGGCTTCACAGGGTTAAATTCTTAAATGTGGTGTCATGGCAGCACTTACTGTGTGGAAGCGCCATGAGCTCGCCACTGCTCAGGCGGAAGAGCTGCATGGAAGAAGACTTGTGACGTTTGGCAGGCGGGCTGAGTAAGGACGAGGAAGAGGTAGCTTTGGACGCTGACCCACCTCCGGCTGTGGTCACCTTGTAGAGGAGGGATGACGGAGGGGAGGAGGAGAGGCTCAGCATGGACAGCTTCGGGGAGGAGAGCGTGGTGAGGCCCCGTGGCTCCGTGAGGCTGTCAAGCGGCAACGTACTGGCTTTGTGCTTGAACTCGTCACTGTCTATGAGCTGGTTCAGGAGGTCGATGGGCGAGCCCTTGGATTCGGAGTACTCCACCCCAAAGTGCCGCAGGTGGGCTCGTGCGTGGCTGGACAAGCCTTTCCTCGTCTCGAACCAGGCGCCGCACAGCTGACACACAATGTCCTTGTTGGGGTCGACCTCCAGCGCTGCACATGGAGGAGAAATGAACAGTGTGATTTTTACAGTGTCATCAGAGAGTCAGAGTGAGGGGGCGGTGACACTTACTGAGGTTGAGAGGAGCGTCGTTCTCCTGTGGAGCCCAGAGGGGTTTGGCTGCTGTGACGGTGGCCGGGGCGGACAGGGTCGAGGTCAGGCTCTTCATCCCCCCGGCCTTGTGCTCCGGGGAGCGCAAGGGGGAAGACACAGGCAGCAGAGAGGAAATGGGGGCTTTTCTCACTACTGACGAAGGCGAGCCAGAATGAGGCGGAGCTGGGGAGGCACCAGGAGACGGTGTGGAGGAGGAAGAGGGCGGCACCGCCTTCGCTGCTTTGGCCAGGAGGGAGAGAGGGATGGGTTTCTCGTCCAAGTCCATGTCTTCTAAATCCTCATCTTTCTGAGGAGTGGAGGGGTCCTTGGCTGAGAGGGGCTCCAGGAGGGATGAGCTTATTTGGCTGTCTAAGTTGCGCTCCTTGGCAATTTGGTAGAGGAGGTCGATGGGTGCGCCGCTGCTCTCCGAGACGCTGATGCCCAGTTGGCGCAAGTGAGAGCGAGCGTGGCTGGACAGTCCCCGTCTGGTCCCAAACTGAGCTCCGCACACCTCGCACTTCAAGTTGTGCTCTGCAGAAGGGGGGCAAAGAGCAGCTGATGAGACATGAGGAAACTTATAAATATCTGTTAAGCTGCTTTCAGACATGCTCTGAATCTGCAGACTTTCTCCAGAGGGGCTGTATGTCAGCACGCAAATGTCCGAGTGAGAGGCTCTGGATATTCTCTGGAGCCTCACCGCGAGTGGTTGTGTTGACGAAAAACATTAGAAATAAAAATAGCTCAGGATGAGAAAGCGAAGCCACACACACACACGTAGAAGACACCCGCGAAGATGTCGAGAGAGCTTTTGGTGATAAGGGCCCAGAGAGAGAAGGTCTGGACCCGATCGATCCCCAGAGTCTCAGAACATCTATTAACATTCTGTCGATGCAGTAATAACACAAACTTTGCAAAACATCAGCAGGTGGCTCAGGTCGTTTTAGAGGCCACGGAAATCCCAGAGGAGACGTCACCTCACTTACCCTCCCTGTCTACATCCAGTCTGCAGGACCAGTGTCAGCGGGGCTCTGATCAGCCCCTGAACACATACATGTCTCCCTCTCAGGATTTCCCTGGGGACACCCCTGCCTGCTGGAGTTTTTTTTTACGACGCCGACCCGAGGGTCAGTTTTACAATTTCCCCGCTGACAGCTGCGATAAGGCTCGGCTGCAGCAAATCCCACCTCCCTGGGGTCAGCGTTCCCATATCTCTCTCTCTCTCTCTCTC